CAAGAAATATTCAAATTCGAAAATTAGAAAATTCAACAGGAAGATTAACAAACTGCTCTACTTACCGCTTCCGTACATCTATCCGTTATTTCCTGTCTCTCTATTACCAGGCTTCACTGGTCTTGAAACATTCACGTTTACATCTTCACCAGATTTTACCGCATCATTCGATTGCATTTCTGGACATATTATATTATCAAAACCAGGTGGTGGACCGAAACTAGACGGAAGTACTAAATTTATAGTACATAATCCAGGAGGTGAGCCAATACTCGGTGGAAGATCTTTTCCAGTAATTTCTGATTGTTCTCTAAAGATCTGAAAACAGTAGAGTTGCAGAGTATTTTTAAAAAGTTTTATATGAAAATAAAACCGAGTTGTATTTTATAAAGCTAAAAAATTAAAAAAAAATCTCAGTTAAGACATAAGAAATATTGAATTGAAAGATCCTGGATAATAATCAACTAAATCCACTATCAATAAAAGTTAGATGTATTAAAATTTACGAACTGTTGAAAAAAAAAAACGTACTTTTCCATTTAACCCTTCACCAAGCTCCGGAAAAACTTTAAACGATGACGCATCAATCGTCGTTTGATTTAGAGAATCTGTAGCAGCCGTTTCCGCAGGCTCACTTTTATCTTTTGTTGTTACATTATTAGGAATTGAGAAAGTTGAAGAGAGCAACTGAAACTCCTATCTAGTTATGAGCAATGAATGATAAATAACAGGCTTAACCAAAGCTGTACAATACGAAAATGCTATCAAAATCTTAAATTTAATGATATGAAACATTCATCTGAATTGTTTGCCAATTTTTTACTGCATAAATGCAGTGAAAACGGTTACAAAATTGAGGTGATTTTGCACACCTTTGATAAAGTGGATGATGGTTTTGTCGCAGAAGTCTTTTCAGCTTCATTTTCATGATGAATGTGAGAAGACAGAGATGGGAAAGGATCAACGAACTCATCCGTTGTTTTGTTTTCCACTTTTCTTTTTTCACCCTAAAAAGTTCTGATTTTTCTGATTTTCTTATAAAGTCAATAATCCATTTAACTTAAAAATTTCTAAATAATCACTTCCGATAATTGGTCATTCAGTTTTTTAGCAAAATTGTGTTGCTGTTTGTTCTTGGTCTTTTTACTTTCTTTTTTCTTGTTCGTATCCTTGACAATAATCATGTCTTCCAAAGTCATTTTTGACAACGATCCCTTAAAATAACTGAGATAAAATAACTTCATGGATAAAACTGAATAAAACCAAATTTGATTAAAACATTTCAAAAAACTCTTTTTATAAATAAAAAATACGAAGCATATAAAGACAACCACTGTAGAAGAATCTTCCCAATCCTCCCATTTTTCGGGTATTGATTCTTGAGGCCAAAGATCGGGCACAGGCAGTTGCTTTTTTCGTGAAATGTTACCAGTGGAACAGGCTGAAGAAGACAAATTCAACTGTCCTGAAGGTGCCTGTAAATAGAGAATGGCACATATGTAGCAATTAAATTGAACTATTAGATGTAAAATAACTTTAAAATTTCTAAAATAATTTCTGCATGTCACCGGATAATTAATGGCTTCATATCTAATTAAACATAATTTGATTCACTCATATTGTAAAATGAGCCCAATGGATTTATCTGATGACCAAAAATATAATCACATGCTATACAATCAAACTTGTACTGTTCTCTAAAAAACTTAAAACATATTATTATAAATAAGCTTCCTTTCAGAATGTCTGCAATGCATCACGTCCATCATACAGTCAATTCACTACTAGAACATGCATCCCACTGAATATTAATAAGATTTAACTTATATACTCAGAACGTCCATTACCTTATTCAAAGCATACAAAAATGAAACACCTGCATGACAGATCGACTTTTTTTAGCCCACACTGATCCAGTTAATGAATTGTTCACAGGTTTTGGTACTGCAGGTGCAGGTAAACTTGGGAAATCACTTAATGCTAATGTGGATGCTACGCTGCTTAAGGACATCGGTTTTTTCATTACTTTAGACCATGACGACTCGATTACTGATTTCCCTGAACTCGCTTCAACCTAAACAAATTAGAAGTTACACAGATTAACAATGTTAATCCAGAAAGACTTTTAAGAGTTGCATTCTTTCATCAATTCCTCACCAAGAGCCTTATCTTGGTTTCAAATACAAAAAATACCTTACCGATTTAGTATGTTATATCATCCTAGCTATTATGTGATCTGGAATTTCTCAAGTGAAAATTCTCTTATATGTATGTACCTCAATTTTGTCAGTTATGGAAGATTCTGTCTTTCCGTTTTTAGTTTGTTCTTTATTTAAATTATTTGAATGTAGCTGATGAGGAGGAAATTGTTCGTCGTCATCAATAAACCATGACCTCGATGAAATACCATTTGGCTAAAAAGATAACAGTTTTACAAACTGAAACCGAAGTAGCAGTACTTCGTAAATTTCTTTTAAAAAAATTATTAATGATTCAAATAAACAAAAACAAGTTGGATGACCTACTTCCTTAAGATTTGATACAGCTTTAACACTATTCGCAGTGGCCATTTTCTGAGATTCTGCTACACTTTTGCTATGTTGTGATGAAGACATTGAATTTGAAGCTTCAGATGTTCGTGTAGATTTCCCTAAATGGGGGAAATCACTACCTTGTAATGTGAACTGTGGAAGGCAATTTCGAGATGACCCTGTTAATTCATTTTCTGCTGAAGATACGATCGACATATTATTGGGAACAGACCTGAAATGATGTATTTGTTATGCTTTTAAATAAAAAAATGAATGAATAATTTATACCTTCAAGAGAATTAAACTTTGAATGTGAGATAAAATAAAGTATGACAGCTATTAAATAAGTTCCAAATATTTCTACACCCGATTATTTTCGGAACAATTTTTCTCTTATATTGTTAAAACGGTAGAAGTCAGAGGAAAAGGATGGTTTGATGCAGATAATAAAGCTGAAATGGTAATGGCGTAGGACAAATCGCCCGATTACGCCGATCCTTTATTAAGAACAAGCAAACTAAAGCCAAATAACATCCTGTATCTGCCTCTAAGTTAGAGGAAATAAATTAATTGAAGCATTAAACGATATATTTGTAAAATAACCAGAACTAACTTATTCTCTCGTAATGGTCGCTCATGTGGCATTAGAACTACTTTTGGAATGTTTTGTTTTGAACGTGTTGACTGAGCTGTTCTGCCACCTCGACTTGGTCCAGCTGTGTTCCGGTCCGAAAAATGAAGATCTAACGTTAGCGTCTGAGGGCCAGCTGCATGATCTCGACTCTACAAAAGTAACAAACTGTAAATGTTCTGTAAATGAAATGAAACAGTTTTAGAAGATTCAGCAAAAAACGAATTGACATAAAATAATTTGATTCATAAGTTTGATTTTGATTTGAATATTATTGCCATATCTTTACTTTCCACATTGTCCGAAGCATTAACGCTACTCTTTCCGCAAAATTATAAAAATCTACTGCTAGCCTTTCAACCAAAATGCAGATCTGGAAGAAATTTAAGGACTTGATATGCTGCGTGTAAAACTTCTGAACATGAATTTGAAATCAAAAATTTAACCTTATGTAACTTCAGTTCATTGTCTGTCCGAAATGCTATTCCCAAAAGCAAACATTCACCCTCTTCGCATATAATATGTTTTGCTTTGTAATGGTTCAACAAATCCTTATGTTCCCTGAAATGAAATTTAACAAGATGTGCAAGACCACATTCATATTCAAGCACCCTTCTCAATAAATTTAGTTTATTCTATGAGTTGAAAAATAAAAATAGATATTACGGAAAAAAGTAATTGCTTCGCCCTTCAGCATCACAAATCTGGCAGAAAAAATGATCTTTGCGAAGATGTTTGTAACGGAACTCTTCATCCAAGAAACGTTTTTCACAGAATAAACATTTTGGATGACCTAAAAATACAAAATATTTTGTTTAATTTAATATGCTTTCAAAAAAGTGATATCTGTGGTTTAAATTTCATCATTTTAAAAAAATACGCAAAAATATATGTTCATTCATTTGGCGAAAGATAATTTTAAGGCTTTTAATATATAATGCAACAAATGCAATGTTTAACAAATACACCTGTTCAACCAATAAGTACTGACGGCAAGGGCACATTGAAGATACCCACCTTTAAAGCTCTTATCATCAGAATCACCTTGCTCGAGATGCCGTTTCAAATTAGACTGTGAGTAAAATTTCCGCTCATGAGTAAATAAGTTCAAGTTTTCCACACAAATAACACAAAATTCAAAACGATGAACCATATACACATGTTGATTCAACTGAGCAAACGTTTCAAATACCCGTTTCTCACCCCTACAAATTAATTCGATTTTCTGTACGAAGTAGTCTATAATTTCAAAGAAAAAGATGAAGAACCACTTGAAACTCACTTTTTTTCACATATTAAACACTGATGAGATAAATAACTGTCGTAACATCTCGCAACATAATCATCTGCCAATTTAATTTTATGATTTGCAGCATCCCTATGCTCTACGTACTGAAGGGGTATTTGGTAATCACTCCAGTCACCCGGAAACGGTACAAAATATAACTGAAATTTTGTGCTTAATTAAGTCTAAGTAAAGAATTTAATCCACTTATACAGATACCTACTTCACCTTTTGGTAATAGCTTTTTTAACTGTTTCAACCGTTGCTAAAATGTAAAATGCATATCATTTGTAAAATGCACCAAAGCACGTATTATGATACTTCACTAACAGTTTGGGTTATTAAGAAAAAAGAAGATATGAAATTGCAACAAAAAAGAAACTGAATCACCATATCAATAACAGCTCTACATTTTGGACACGTTTCATTTTTACACAAAATTCGTAATCGAATTCCGCATTCTATGCATATAGGATGTAAACATGACCCAACAGCGAACACATCCGATTCACGACAACATATATCACACTCTGAAACCTCGCCTCTGAATTTGATACCACCATGATCCGAGCGATTCTAAAAAATATTCACTCTTCACTCTTCACGTATCTGAATAATAAACATATTAATAATTTAAAAAATCCTGCGAGGATTTTTAAAATAAAATGCGAACATACTTCATAACATTTTGGACTGCGAATTATATGCTTTTTGGCCTTTGGATCATGACCATCTCTTCCATTAGCTGTGTTATGAAAACTGTGATAGCCCGCACCATCCCTTTGATATGTCTGTTGAATTCTACCACTATCATGACCAAAATTCCTAGCTATATCTCTCCTAGAAAGCAAAAATATGAGCTTTAACATATCCATTACTCTGCAAATTTTTAAAATTCACCTAAACTTTACTTGATAATTTTCCTGATAAAAATCCTTTAGCAACAGCTGAGATACCTTAGAATGATAAAGTATCGAAAAATGGCGGTATATACATGTTGAAGAAAGTGAAGACATAAAATTACATGCTAGCTTGTAAAGAGAGAAATTTGAGGTATCGATAATTTAAATCCCGGATGGTTTTATGATTTATTCTTTGAAGTTTGAATACTGACACCCGAAATCTTTCTCTGAACTATGCTATAATGAAATAAGTGGTAGTGTAACTGCTATTAGACATTTCATAATTGTAAACTTTCATAATTCCTGTTGATTACTATCTACTTAATCCATGAATGTCAACTGTCACATAAAAAACAAACCTGTTGCTGTTGCCAGGTGCATGTTCATTGTCTCTTGCTTGGTAATTGACAGTATGGTTTGATCGTTTCGCAACAATTCTTGATTCGGACATAATTTTTACAGATGAACTACGATAAAAACTGATGCTTTCAAAAAAAAAAATACAAGTAGAGAGATATGAAAGATATCGGATAAATGTTGAAAGATGGCAGTTCAATAAAAATCTGAAAAATGACAAAGTATTCAGCATCGTCAGATAACAATGTCAAATTGTTTATTGCTTCTTACAAAATAACATTTGAATTTCAATTTTGAGTAGCTGAAAACGAGAAATGAACCCATTAGGAAATTGATTAAGTGAGAGATTTTGACAATCAATATTATGAATTTTGCTCAAGAATAGCTTATATACAGTCGCGGATTTGACAAATGATTTCGCACTTCAACTATTTCAAACAACCATCTAAGTAATTTTAGCATTCCCACAATGAGATAGCTGTGAAACTGTGGCAATATAAACATCGCTAAGAATAATTTAGGATAGTTAATAAAACAGTTTGATCAATTTATCCTAATATTTACAATGGCACTAAAAAGAACAAAGTCGAACTCGCACAAAAAAAGGCATTTTACATTCACGCTGCATATAAATTCGATTCAACTATACATAAGTGATACTTAATTCACGTGTGAAACATTTACGTACGTCACGCTTACGCTGGTAAAAGCTTATGCACCAAATACCGTAAAACTGCAAAACAAACTGCTCACACACCATTTTGTAAGTTTGTAAACCGTGAAAACGTTCCTTAGCGGTCGTAGTACAACTAGCCAAAATGACACATCCACCAAATGGTTGTCGCAAACTGACAATACACGTTCATTCGAACCAAACAATCAAAGTAAATTACAGAAGTACGTACAAAAGTACGATGAGATGCAAAATTTAAAAAATAAGCTGTTAAAAACATAAACTTTCTGCATTTTTAATTCTTGCTACATTCCAATCAATCAATCTGGAAGGAATCAAAGATTTTTAAACTTAAAATAAAATTGTATTTTTTCAAGGAGAATTTAGTAACGGAACATTTTGAATTACATCACAACAAGCATTATTCTGGTAAAATTCAACAATTTAGAGATTAAAATTTCTCTCAGTTCTTAAATCTTTTGCTAACTGAACGCCTGGCAATGAATGTTTCAAACAATTATCATCTCAGATTCGCTTTCATTCATAACTTCTTTTAATTTTTTCAAACCTTTTTTAATTTCAATTTCTTTTCGAATATTTTTATTGCAATTTCAATTATATAGCTAGAAAATTCCATTCTATAGCTAGAAAATTCCGTTCGAACATTTATTTCTTTCAGAATGAAGCATTCTTTTTAGATTTATAGGGAAATTTTTATCAGTGATCATCAATTCATGCTATCACTTTATGGTATTCTTGTCATCTAATTATGGTGTTGTTATCATGCTTGTAGGAGATTTATGATATTGATATTGTTGATTTATGATATTGCTGTTAGTTTTGCTACAATTATCATTAAATTAATGTGGCAGATCCATAGTGATAAGGCAGTGTTAGATATACGGTATAACTCGTAGAAAAATTGCTGTCCAATATTCAACATTTATTTATCATTAATGCTATTGGTTCTGTGTGAGTGAAGTTAACTGGAACAGGTAGGATAGTGAGAAATTGAGCAATTCAACAAACTGCACATTTTACAAGAAGTGATGAAAAATGACCTTGTTTTGCTAGTTTTCTTTTTTTCTTCTTTTCAAACTTAACTTTATTGCTTTGTTTTATTCGTTCGTACTTATCCTAAAACGATGCATATTATGAGTGAAAGGTCTTCGACCTTTTCAATCGATAGGAAGAAAATATTACATTTATCGGATTGTCATCTTTCTTAATCTGAAAACAAACATGCCTATTCTATTATTTCAAGATATGCTCCATTGCACAGGCATAACGATGACTGAAAATAGTTGTCCATCGAAATTTGTCGCCGATCGGTCGCTCATAACAAAGACATATTGTCGCCCTTCAATATTGTAATACAACTTTCTTTATCAAATATATCCGATGATGCCGAATGAATTTTATACTCACATCGATTACGGTAGTAACCGGAAATGCTTTCATCACAATTTCTTTCAAAAACTAAATTTGTCACTGTATTTTTCATGTATAACTATTGATGAAATATGTATTTGTACAGTTGACGTTGATATTTAGGATTTTTTTTAATATTTAAAAAATAAAAGTACAGCCAAAGCATGAAATGTAAGCAGTGTTAATTGATAACATCTGAAAATTCCAAGATCTTCTGGATCTTCATTTGCATTAATATTAACTTTACTACAAGTTTTGAATTACTTAGTACCCAAAAAATTCATGCATAAAAAAATCGTGAAATATATGAAGATTATTCATATCTCAATAAGTAAAAATAACAGATTATCATTAGATGTTTCAATTGCATTAACATCTTACATGTTAAATATTAAATTTTCAAACTTCTAATGA